TATATATTGGACTATGTACATGCCATTTTGCCACTTTTAATCTCAAAATGGTATAGCATTATTTTGCATTGTTGCATTATTTGCCTTTATGCTGGTGAGAGGCTCTTGACCCAAGGAACTGGACTTTTCTTCTTCCTGCTTAGACCGAATTTGAATCTCTCTCATTCCACAAGCACTATATGACTCCTACAGGTTTAGTGCTTTTCTCTGATTATAATAAATATATTATTATTACAATCATAGCTAAGCACTAAACCCAGTAATAAATATAACAATAACAATCATGAACAATATCAATCTACAATGGCTGATGCATTGTATGAAATGGATGCAATATTTCATTGGTTTAGGCTGTGTAGGTATGAATCTGGCTGCATTCTGTGCAATAACTGGAAAATGCATCTTCTGCCTAGCTTTAAACTTTTAATGCCAATGTGTTTCCCTCAATGGCAGCATCTCAATTATAATGTGCTAATTTTACTAATCAAATTAGTTTATGAAATGATTTGAGAATGTCTTTGCTGACCAGAAATAAGTCACAGTGTTTGACTATCTGGTTTTCCTAGGTTAAATCAAAATCATGTCCCTATAACATGTGTATGCCCTAACGATCATTGTTAAAATATTGTATGTTATATACACTAGGCTTACATAAAACTTATTTACTTTTCATACTTTCTTAAAAGTTGGTCTGTCTTAGAAATATGTTTGGGTTGATTTTGGCTTGTGTAGGTCCCAATTTTCTTTTCTCGTGTTAGAAATTCAAAAAATTAAGATAAGGTAATGCTTTCCATGTGATAATGTTTGAGTATCATACCCGATTAGCTTCAATCCTTCCATGCTGATAACTTGATAATGCAGCTTTCTGAGCAGCTTTAAACTTAAAGCACTTGTGTATTTAGAATATTCTTTTTGTTAAGTTGGAATTAGATTTTGACTGTATGTTCTAATTTGCCATTTTTATTGAAGAAATTTGCATATTTAGTCTCCATATGATGATTTGTGAATGCCTCTTCTGATTTCCTTCAAATCTTCAATGGTAATATTTAAATGCATTATCAACTTATGCTGAACTCTCCTCTAATCCAACTGAGTGTACTGAGGCACGGGGAAGTGGGGTTATGGAATATGGGCGATACCTTTCTTGGAACGAGCAACGACTGAAATACAGCTAGTTATATATCAGCATTTGACAGGTCTTAAAGACTAACAAAGATCAGTAAATTAAAATAAAATATTCCTCATTTATAAAAATATTACAAAAGTTCATGTCAAACCTATACTCTGGCACTTTGTTGCCTCTAGAAAGTATACCTTAGATCAGACTGGTTTTGAAATGAGCTGAGGTAGGACAACAGCTCTTATAGAAATTCAACAGGGCAGAAATAAAAAAAAAGACAGGGGTGACAATGAAGAAACATCAGACACAAACAGTTACACAAGCAGCTCCAAGTCATTGCAGTCAATAACCAAGCTCTGTTTAACCATGTGAGCCAGCTGCAGCAATCTGATAGGTGGCCTAATTTCCCAAAAATTAACCTAGTTAAGTGTCTCGTGAAATCGTAGTGGTCAGAGAATCGTAAAACTCCAGACCGACGCATTATCCACTGGGCCAGCTGGCTACAGTGGATAATGCATTGGTCTGGAGTTTTATAACTCTCTGACCATAGGTTCAAGCCCCACCCATGGTATGGTTTAGTTAAGTGTCCCCTGTATTTGGCTACTGACAACAATTACTAAGATGTAAACCTCTGAAATCAGAGGTTTATCCACTTAAAAAAAAAAAAAAAAAAAAAAAAAAAAAAAAATAGTAGTATCAATTCTGAAAAAATAATACAACCATTATACAGTATGAAATACAAGACTGCATAGATAAAGCATGTCATTTTTGTTCATTAACTTAAGTAAATGTAAACCTTGTAGCACAATACATCAGTCACCTTGATGAATTATTCCACTGACTAGTGAGCATTCATAACACCTTCGTCCTCCTGTGCAGTACATCAAAAGAGTGAAGGAATTACATTTCATATGTAAACCCTAATATGTACATGAGGTCCTCAGTTTACAAACCAGTCGTATTAGTGGTGCTTCAACTTACAAACGACTTAATTGGATAAACAACAATAATGCAAAAGATGGTTACATTTCACACAAGTTCTTAGTCCAACTCTAACCTTTGTAAAACTTGAATTGGTTTTTAAGCATTCCGTTTGTAAGCGTGGATATTTGTAACTTGTGGCATTTGTAAGTTGGGGGCCTCTTGGATTTCAACAGATTTTAAAAAAGTTACCTCTAATTCACACTAGGTATGGAATGGCATATTCATAATGCTGTACTTTTCCTTGGGCTCACAACTTTGGCACTGAGTTTGGAAGGGACTTCAAAAGTACTTGTATAGTATCCATCTCCATGGTTCACACAACAGACACCTGTTAATTCACCATATCCATGGCTCATAAGCTGGCTTAGCCACCATATAATAGTCTTAATTCTCCTTCAAATATACTACACATCTGTTAATGTAATTTCTACTTCTTTCTGCTTTTTTACTTCACATTTTATGTCCCTTCAAAGGAAAGGGTTCCTTGATGCTGTTAAAGGGCTCTTGATTCAAAAAGTTGGAGCAATCCTCTCTTTCTTGGATCAAAACTCTTTACCTAGTGGTTGAATTCTCCCTGTAAATATAATACTAACATTTTATATGAATTGTACTATTTTGAGCACCTTCTGAATTTAGAGCTTTATTCAGTCCTGTTTAATACAACTAAGATGAATGAAACCAGTCCAGTGCTGGTGATGGAAAGCGGAAATTCATGAAAAAAGGCGACAAAAAGGTGACAGCTCCTTCCCGTCTGAGCTGGTGAAATGAATGCTAGAACAGCATCAGATGGGCTTAAATAAAAATACCAAAATCAGGCTGAACAAGCAGTCACCAGGGAAGCCTCATCACAAGTTGGGCTGTGAGATCAGAAAACCTCTCAAAACTAGACATAGGTAAATTGCAGGTAAAATGAGGTAGCAATTAGAACTAAGAACAATGAATAAGACAAAGTGTTAGAAGAATGGACACTAATGATTCCAACTCAAAGCCAATGAATCTTGGTCTCCTGGAGCTGAAGATATCAAATGGCAAAAAATTAACTGAAACCTCTTAAGTATATGCACTATTAAAAAAATCAGTGCTGTTGAAAGTAGATTTAAGCAGGTAAATTATTAGTTTTCACAGGGAAATCATACAGCATCCAAGAAATGGGAGGTAATCAGGTTAGATCCGAGAAAAGGGACATTTACCTTTGATTTTTACCTGTGGCTACTTTCAAGGCCTCTATGCCCCTGCAACCCACTGACTGCTGGGCTAGCAGCCCATGGGCTGACATAGCCATCACAGATCAGCTGATCCAGTATATTTACAGAAGGAAGCTGTCCAGTTTCTCAAAAATTTCTATCTCATTCTGACAATATTTTTGATATCTTCTGGTAATATGCTGAAAAGTCTTGGGCCATGGGTGTTGACACAATTTTCTCTATTTGTGCCCATGGCCTCCCTGCTCTACACTGGCTTTATTCGTCACTTCCTCCTATAATTTTCATTGAAGTAAGATATTACAAATGTGAAGATTGGAGGTCAAATCCTCAAGTATTTTAAATGTACTGCGTTTCTCTCTCTTCTCCATTCCAAAGAGAACAATCCAAATGCTTTAAGGCATTCTCAATAGTCTAAATATTTCATTGATCTTATATGAACAATTCAGTATACCTCTGTACATTTTCCAGCTCTGCTATCTCTCCTACCTTGAAGGGTTAATCATCCGAATATAAAAATTTGTTTTAAGAAACAGCAGTAAAACCTTAATAGCAGATACCCTTACTTTTACATTCAATGCTTTGAAACTAGTTTTGAGTGTTAGCATTCTGAAGGATCATTTGAATGGTGATGTCCGTACACTTCTAGAAAAACAGTTATAGAATGAATGACGGTGAATGTGTTTATTTCTTTGAGTCACCCTATTTTGGTGAGACAACTGATGTGGTTAAAAGTAAAAATCACTGAAGCTACCAATAAGAGCAGCATAAGAAATGATTTAGTGTCACTGGGAAGGAAGTTGGTGGCTCCAGAAAATGATCTAATTTTTTCCTTATTCTTTTTACCAAATACAATTAACAAACAGCCCAGGAACCTTACACTGTGAAATAACAGGTGTCTACTGTATTATGAAAAAGACTTATTATCAAACACAGCAGAGTTCAGAAAATAGCCATAATCACTTAAAAAAGATACTGTACCTGATACTGATGAGGTTTATAAAACATTAACCTACAGCAAGAGTAAATTCTCCCTTTTTAGTGAGCACTCTCGAGAACTGAACTGTGTCATCTCCTCTCACATATCACTGAAAACTGGTAGATCATTTCATTTATATTGCATAAATTGCATGACAATTTTTATAAAAATACAGTACCAATTTCTGTAAAATACCTATACTTCAGTCAGCTATGCATGAACAATGATTACTAATGTCTAAGATTCTCTGACATTTTACATCCATTAAGTACTTTCTTCACACATTCTAATGAATAAACAATATTTTCAACTATTCTCAAATCATTATAAGATGATCTTCATCAAATTTTTTTCCCACAAATTTTTGTTACTTTTATAAAATCTTTACTATGCTTCTAGCTAGCATGCACAGTCTGACTAAGGTACAGTGTGTTCCTAAAGGCTAGGCCTATTTCAATCCATTTGTCACTACTTCGATAATCTCTAAATTTAAAATTAAGCGCATTTTTGACACTATTCATCCTGCAATTCAAATTTTTACATGGGTAGTGGAGTCGAATTTTTGCCTTTGTTGGCCCGAAGACTATCACTCCATCATACTGTTGGAAACCTGAGAAAACTTTTTGAACAAACATCACATATTATAAAACAAGAAGGGAAATTTTTTACATGCTTTTCCCCTTAATAAAAAAATTTATTATTTAAAAATCTGCAAAAATAATGGAGAAAAATGCAGCAGGCAGCAAAATTTTATGTAGCTTAAAATACATGGAATGTTTACAGGCAAAATACATAGTGTTCTGCAAGACCTTGAGCTACAAAATGTTAATTTAATTCCTAATGTTCACAAAATCCACCAGCTACATCTCCCCATGGCCAGTACTTCAAGAGTGTGCATTATCAGGAGCTCTTACCAGAGGTACTCTTCGGTAGACAATATCCTCACAATTTGTACTAGATTAAACCATACATACTGGCATTGGAATGTTCTTATCTATTAGATAGATGAAGGAATTTTCGATTCTACAGTAATTTTGGTTCTACAAAAAAAATTGGCCCAACCTAGAGCAAAAGCAAGAGTTGTGGTGCAGCAACTGCACAATCTCCTACAACATTTCTGTACAATGATAATGCATGGTATCTACTATAGGGCATTCTATAGAGAGTGAAGATTTGACTAGAAGGAGCCTGAAAACTACTGGAAAAGGTAGAAGTTATCATTGAGTACTTCACTTAAATATGCACTAGAAAGATTATTAAGAATTCTGGAAGATGCACAAGGTTTGGCAAAGGATTGGCAACTAGGTTTCACTGTGAACCCACAACACAATCAGTAACAATCAGACTTAGTTTTAAGCTCGCAACCCATTACCCTCTCATCCACAGATGAAATGTTGATCATAACCGGGAAGTATTCCAAGACTGATCACTGATTATGATGCAGATTCAAAACAAGAATTTCTACATGACTTCAGATGAACCTGACAACAAATTTTTCCTGTAGCTTGACTAAAGGGTTTCATGAATCACAGGTTGCAGCAGGACCATGTGTTCGGCACCCTTGATTGGTAGTCGAAAAATGCTATAGTGCTGGATCATGTGGGGCACCGAAGAAAACTGCTTGGTGCCCCTCCCTAGCATGTACTGGCCGGTCTTACAGTCAAACTGTATTCGAAGATGCATGTATCCACGAGCAGACCTAGGAAGAACAGATAAGTAAATAAATATTCTTTCTATGTGTTTAAATTATTATTATTATTACATTCATAGGAGCACGAAACCTGTAAGGGTCATACAGTGCTTGCAAGAATGGGAGGCATTCAGGTTCAGTCCAAGAAAGAAGATCAAGAGCCCATCAACAGCATCAAGGAATCTCACTTGAGGGGCTTCATATGTTTAAAGCTTACATAAACACGTTTAAAGCTGCATCCCACTTCACTACTGGCGAGTCCTGCAAAAATCTTATATACGCACAAAGGGATGAACATCTCTCAATGTACATTTATACAAGGTACATATATCTGTACATACACACACAGATTACTTTAATCCTTATGTTAGGGATTAAAGCATTCTTAAAGCACCCTTAAAGCAGGATTAAAGCAGCCTTAATTAACCTCATACAATCAATATGCTGTAAGCTTAACAAACCAACCAGTCAAGAATTTTTCAAAAATGTTTTGCTACTTGTACAACTCAATATTAAGAGCTTACTTTAACCCCAGAGAGTATTCATGGCGAGAGACATCAAGAGAGCGCACGAGATAGCTGCCTTCTGAGCATGATCTGAGTGTAGCCTCTGCTTCAGTTCTGCTCAATGCACCATGGTACCAGCTGCAAAACACAGGTTCAGTAATAAACATCTTTTTTAATACTTGCACTCTGATCAGTTCCCTCCATCTCTATTTCTCTTTCATCTATCTATAATTACATAGTTATCTAATCCTTATATGTTATTCCTTCCCAGGTGAATAGGGTAAAAATCACATTGAAAAGCTTCCAATCAATTTGAAGAGCATTAACAAAATTTCTATCAATGGGCTTTAAACACCCTGTACTGTAACGTATATATCTTACTAACATAGCTATCATTCTCCCTATCAAAGTTTATTCTTTAAAATCAACTGGAGGAAAAAATTTCCCATTGCTCCAATAACATAACTTCCAAAGAATGCAAAACTTACTTACTATATTTTCATATATCATTTGTGAAAGAATATGCAGAAGTGGTGAATGAGCTGTCAAGAGAAATTGGTGTTAAAGAAAAAAATTGCCAATAAAGTGCTTGTCGACTGTGTGCAGTGACAGTATATTTTGAGAGAAGAGTCGAGTCTGAATGGAGGCACAAGCCTCACCTGAGAGATCAGCTTAGTGAGCGCAGTGAATAGTGATGAAGGGATGGAGCAGTATGGAAGAGTCTGTTCCTTCCACTCACTGCAGGTGGAGGATACACAAACAGAGCAAAGGATTAAATTGCACCATCTACCTCGTTCCTTGTGGAAAAGGAGGTAGAGATAATAAATATAACAGAAAATGCATGTTAAACAATAAATCTAAATACTGTATATCCTTTGATGCTTTGTTCCTATTAAAAATATATGCTGAAGGGGAATATAATTTTCCTTCAAAATATATTTACACAATAATTATATTTGCCTTGGAAGTAACAAGAAGCAACCATTCATTTCCTCAGATCAAGTCTGATTACCTCCCATTCCCCAGATGCCATAACCCCCAATGGGTTTAGCACTTCCCCGTAAATATTTGATTACATTTACAGCACAAGCAACAAATTTTATAAATATATTACAGTACACCAAAGGAATAATGTGTCACCCTGAGTGAACAAATGAAGCAGAGATACATTACTGCAGACCAGCATGACTTTACTTACCCCTGCTTCATCAGTGGCAGCTTCACATCCACTTTCTCTCCTTTTATGGCCATTGCAGCACATCCCAGATCCAAGGCCAGTCCACTTTTAACTTGGCTACCATCTGCAAAAGCCAATGACACTTACCATCAAAAGTGCACTAACATATACAGTGGAACCCCAGTTTTTGTCTTTAATCTGTTCCAGAAGGTCAGCCGAAAACTGATTTGTACGAAAACTGAGTAATGTTTCCCACAAGAGATAATGTACAGTAGACAGTCATTTAGCACAAGTTTATTTGGCACGATTTGAGTATAGCACGATTGAAGAACTGCGACAAAATTTTATGTAACACGTCATATAATCAATTTAACACGATTCGCGGGAGGGGAAAAATTTTTGAGCGCGCTGTTGCCCGGTCATCCAGGGTGGGTTATACATTGAGTCAATGGGGGAGGCCTACCGCCATCCCCTCGCCACCCACACCCACCCCCCACCACACTCCCAGCCTCCAGTTCGGTTCATACATGTGTAGGACGAAGATACTGGGGAACCTCGCTGTGTTTATTTACATTCATTGTACTACATATTTTCATTGCCATTCGTTAAATCTGCCAAGCAATCATGGCACCCAGTAAGCATACAAGTGTTGCTGAAAGTGACAAGAAAAGGTTTAAGCATTCAAGTCTAGGAATTGCGAAGAAAACTGAGATATCAGACAAGCTTAAGAGTGGATCACGTGTGGTGGATATAGTGAGGGCCTATGGCCTTAAAAAAGCGTCAGTTCGTACAATTAAAAAGAATGAAGCGAATATATGAGCTTGTGTAATGAATAACCCAAGGTGTCATCATCTCATGAAAAGAATGACATGTAGGTCCCAACAAGTAAATAAAACAGAAAACTTATTGCTTGAGTGGATTGAACAAGAGACAAAAAAAGGTGCACCACTTAATTTCATCTTAATTAGGGAAAAGGCCTTACAATTGTTTAAAACAGTGTGTGATAAGAAAGGAAGGTCTGAAAAAGGTGTGTATGTTTAGCACAGGCTGGTTCCACACCTTTAAGTTGCATAATAAGTTACATAATATTAAGTTTTCAGGTGAAAGTGCTTCAGCTAATCATACAGCAGCAAGTAAATTCCCTGCTGAATTGCAGGAAATTATTTCTGAGGGTGGCTATGAGCCACAGCAAGTGTTTAATGCTGATGAGACAAGTGTTTTTTGGAAAAAATGCCAACACGAACTTATATCAGTCAGCAAGAGAAGAGTGCACCAGGCTTCAAGACAGCAAAGGATCGCTTCACCTTGCTCCTTTGCGGTAATGCATCAGGTGATTTCAAGTGTAAACCCATGGTTATTTACTGTTCTAAGAATCCTCGTGCTTTGAAAGGTGTAGATAAAAACACCTTACCAGTAATTTGGAGGTCAAACCAGTCAGCATGGATGACAGAGGAAATATTTATTGACTGATTTAAGCATCACTTTATTCCTGAAGTCAAGTTTTACCTGCACAGCAAGAACCTTGCATTCAAGACTCTTCATTCTTGCTAACTCCTGTACTCATTCACAAGCTTTGCTGGATGTGACCTCACATGTAAAAGTTGTATTTTTACCTCCAAATACATCTTTAATACAACCACTGGATTGGGGAGTTATTAAGTCATTCAAGTGTAACTACACAAAAAAAGTTATGAAAAAACTAGTTGTATCATTGGACTCTGATTCCAACTTGGCAGTACCAAGCTTCTCGAATAAATTTAACATTGCAGATGCTATCAGCTATGCTAGAAGTACATGGAATGAAGTGCCCCAATCAATATTAAATGCAGGCTGGGGAAAGTTATGGCCTTCTGTGGTTAATTCTTTCACTGGTTTTCCCTTGTTTGAGAGTCAGGTTCAGGAAATTGTTCAGTTGGCAAGGAGATTACCAGTTATGTGAACAGTTCCTTTATTATTGGTAAATGTTGCAGACTTTTTCACTGAAGAGGACCCTGACAAATCTAGAAGCAGTGCTTTGAAACGGGGTCTAGACCAGCTGATGATGCCTTACCATCAGCTGTATAATGTATTGCAGGATAAAAGAGCCCAAAGATCCATTACAGAATTTATGCACACTCCAATACAACCATCGACTTCAGTACCAGAACCTCTACCATCCACCTCTGTTGACAACCAACAACCATCCACCTCAGCCCAGTAGGGCCAAACCATCTATATCCACTCTCTCCACAATCATCCACACACACCACTACCCATAATTTAAGGTAATAAATACTATTATTTCTATTGAATTTGTAGTCTTAAGCAGTAATATATCACGACAATGAACTACAATTACATACTCACTTTTATATTTGTAAGATCTATTGGCCTAAAAAAAAGTTGTTTGGCTTTTTGGGGGCTCCCAGGAATGTAACCCTATTTTTCCCACAAGTTTTTCAGTTCATTTAACATGATTTTACCAAACATGGCATTTTCAGGAATGTAACTACTGTGCTAAATGACAGTCTACTGTAAATCCAATTGATCCGTTCCAGACACCCAAAATTTTTTTTTTTTTTATCATCACACTGGCCGATTCCCACCAAGGCAGGGTGGCCCGAAAAAGAAAAACTTTCACCATCATTCACTCCATCACTGTCTTGCCAGAAGGGTGCTTTACACTACAGTTTTTAAACTGCAACATTAACACCCCTCCTTCAGAGTGCAGGCACTGTACTTCCCATCTCCAGGACTCAAGTCCAGCCTGCCGGTTTCCCTGAACCCCTTCATAAATGTTACTTTGCTCACACTCCAACAGCACGTCAAGTATTAAAAACCATTTGTCTCCATTCACTCCTATCAAACACGCTCACGCATGCCTGCTGGAAGTCAAAGTCCCTCGCTCACAAAACCTCCTTTACCCCCTCCCTCCAACCTTTCCTAGGCTGACCCTACCCCGCCTTCCTTCCACTACAGACTGATACACTCTTGAAGTCACTCTGTTTCGCTCCATTCTCTCTACATGTCCGAACCACCTCAACAACCCTTCCTCAGCCCTCTGGACAACAGTTTTGGTAATCCTGCCCCTCCTCTAACTTCCAAATACAAATTCTCTGCATTATATTCACACCACACATTGCCCTCAGACATGACATCTCCACTGCCTCCAGCCTTCTCCTCGCTGCAACATTCATCACCATGCTTCACACCCATATAAGAACGTTGGTAAAAACTATACTCTCATACATTCCTCTCTTTGCCTCCAAGGACAAAGTTCTTTGTCTCCACAGACTCCTAAGTGCACCACTCACTCTTTTCCCCTCATCAATTCTATGATTCACCTCATCTTTCATAGACCCATCCGCTGACACGTCCACTCCCAAATATTCGAATACATTCACCTCCTCCATACTCTCTCCCTCAATCTGATATTCAATCTTTCATCACCTAATCTTTTGTTATCCTCAACCTTTACTCTTTCTGTATTCACCTTTAATTTTCTTCTTTTGCACACCCTACCAAATTCATCCACCAATCTCTGCAACTCCTCTTCAGAATCTCCCAAGAGCACAGTGTCATCAGCAAGAGCAGCTGTGACAACTCCCACTTTGTGTGTGATTCTTTATCTTTTAACTCCACACCTCTTGCCAAGACCCTCGCATTTACTTCTCTTACAACCCCATCTATAAATATATTAAACAACCACGGTGACATCACACATCCTTGTCTAAGGCCTACTTTTACTGGGAAAAAATTTCCCTCTTTCCTACATACTCTAACTTGAGCCTCACTATCCTCGTAAAAACTCTTCACTGCTTTCAGTAACCTACCTCCTACACCATACACTTGCAACATCTGCCACATTGCCCCCCTATCCACCCTGTCATACGCCTTTTCCAAATCCATAAATGCCACAAAGACCTCTTTAGCCTTATCTAAATACTGTTCACTTATATGTTTCACTGTAAACACCTGGTCCACACACCCCCTACCTTTCATAAAGCCTCCTTGTTCATCTGCTATCCTATTTTCCGTCTTACTTTTAATTCTTTCAATAATAACTCTACCATACACTTTACCAGGTATACTCAGCAGACTTATCCCCTATAATTTTTGCACTCTCTTTTACCCCTTTGCCTTTATACAAAGGAACTATGCATGCTCTCTGCCAATCCCTAGGTACCTTACCCTCTTCCATACATTTATTAAATAATTGCACCAACCACTCCAAAACTATATCCCCACCTGCTTTTAACATTTCTATCTTATCCCATCAATCCTGGCTGCCTTACCCCTTTCATTTTACCTACTGCCTCACGAACTTCCCCACACTCACAACTGGCTCTTCCTCACTCCTACAAGATGTTATTCCTCCTTGTCCTATACACGAAATCACAGCTTCCCTATCTTCATCAACATTTAACAATTCCTCAAAATATTCCCTCCATCTTCCCAATACCTCTAACTCTCCATTTAATAACTCTCCTCTCCTATTTTTAACTGACAAATCCATTTGTTCTCTAGGCTTCCTTAACTTGTTAATCTCATTCCAAAACTTTTTCTTATTTTCAACAAAATTTGTTGATAACATCTCACCCACTCTCTCATTTGCTCTCTTTTTACATTGCTTCACCACTCTCTTAACCTCTCTCTTTTTCTCCATATACCCAAAAATATTAAAAAAAAAAAAAAATACATTTTATAGAGAATAACTATAGATTTACATACAGAAAACAATGAGAAATAAATATAAATGACTAATGAAATGGATAAATGAACATTTAACATCACTTTTACCTTTACTGAAGACTCTTGCTGTCATATAGAAGAACAAAAAGAGTTAGCCTATTCTTCATAGGCTTGTGTCCTAGCAGTACCTTTTCCTCCTGCACAATGTAGGTCCTCTTTGGTATTTTCTTCCAAAAGAGGCCTGTTTTGTCACAATTGAAGATTTGTTGGGGGAGGAATCCTTCAGCCTCTACGTACTCCTTGAATTCATCAATGAATTCTTCGGCCCCACGTTTGTCCAAACTCGTAGCCTCGCCATGCCTTACCGCACTGCGTATGCCACTTCGCTTCCTGAATCTGTCGAACCAGCCTTTGCTGGCCTTAAATTCACTAACAGCAGCACTCATTCCAGGC